TTTATTATACATAGATGTATATACCATAAAGCAAAAAAAAAAAAAAAAAAAAAAAAAAAAAAAAAAAAGAAAACAACTTAATTTGTTTGATATGAATAAACAGGTTTACTTTATAAAGAACACAGCAGCGAGAAGTATCTATTTTTAACATAGTTTAAAATCGGGACCATCTCATAATATACCAATGTGCTGTGATTCTAAAACTGTGGTAAGGATGACCAAGAGTACAGTTCTAGCATCCCCATTTGGCTTTTTCAGTAAGTGGCAGTTATAGATACTTGACTTAATTATAAATACATAGAAATTTAAAGACAAAATTAAAAAAAATTCCTAAAGAGTGGTCAAAATCAAGGACCCTTTTTGGCTGAGATGTGATCATATTTTAAATCCACAGAGTCAAGTATTTGATGCAGTAAGCTCTTTTTTTTTTTTTTTTTTTTAAAGTTCTTTATTTTGAATGAGAGACAGAACATGAGCAAGCAGGGGTGGGAGGCAGGGAGAGAATCCCAAGCAGGCTCTGCACTCTCAGCATAGAGCCCAACATGGGGCTCGATCTCATGAACCATGAGATCATGACCTGAGCTGCAATGAAGAGTCGGACACTTAACCAACTGAGCCACCCAGGCGCCCCGATGCAGTGAGCTCGTTTCCTGCTTGATTTCTATCCGAGGGAAAAATAATTAATTCATGTATTCAAATGATATTTATTAAGATGCCATTATGATTTACACTAATATTGTTTTTATAAAAATAAAAGTAATGTATTTACTATGGTTTCTGGTCCCAAGGAATTACAGTCTATTTGGGGAGATGGCAATACAATAAATGGAGTACAAGATAGTTCATTAATAAAGTGCTAAACTGAACTATTCCCTAACCCGTTGGATATTTTTTCAGTGATTTAGATGAAGATGCATATATTCTACAGATCAACTTTAGGTCTGACACAAAGTTAAAGAAAAAGACACTAAGTTAGAGGTCAAATCAGGATCCAAAATGGATCTTGACAGGCAAGACTAAAATTTATCAGGATGAAGTTTGTGCTTAAGATGAAAAAACAAATGCACAAGTAAAAACAGATTATACCTTTTTAGAAGCCAAAGTGGCACAGAGTTGGGGATTTAAAGCTCAGTTAATTAAGATAATATCAAGTCAACATCATAACAACCACAACAAAACCCACTGATATTAACTAAGTGCTTTCTTTGCACAGGGCACTTAACAAACACACACACTTTTAATTCTCACAACAGCCAACAAGTCCTACTCAACAAGGTAGTGTTACCATTTAACTGAGGCTCTGTTATAACAAGCAATTTGGACCAATGTCATATAACTAATAAGTGAAAAGCAGAGAATTTAAACTCAGATCTGACTCCAGAGCCTATTTATTTTTTGCTATACTATACCATCTGCATTGTTCTGTGTTGATGAAACTATAGTACTTCTATATAAAAATTGGGTCCAGAGGTGCAATTAAGGAAGATAAGCATGGCTAACAGAGAAGAAATAGGGGGCCTGGTGAGTTTTCCATTGAACAACCTAGAGTGGCTTGGAGAGTTAACCATTTGGGTCCTTCATTGTCTACGAGTGTCAAGAAATAGGAATACCAAGGAAGTGAAAGGCTACCTGGGGATGACTTAGCCTAGTGATCATGGCCCGAAAGGGGATGTGGGTTTCTTTGTGAATTATGAACATCTATTGCTGCCTGAAAAGGGTTTGGATATGTAGAATGCCAGTAAGTACCAACTCTCCCTTCTATTATCATTGCTGCTCTGTAAATCTGTTATAAAAACACAACACAAAGCTTTGACCACAGCTTCTAATCACATCAGATCTATCTTCTTATTTACATCACTTGAGGCATTCTCTATGTCCAAAGAAAATGACAAACTACCATCTATTTTCAAATATTAAAAGCTGTAATAAACAATTCTTATTAGCCCAAACCAAAGAAAAGGCTAGAATATTCATTCATTCTTTTGTACTTGTTTTCTGCAATTAAAATTAACAGGCAAATTAATATGAGTAATCCCAAAAGTAGATAAAACATGAAATGAAAATTGCCTTGTTTCAGGGTGATCTTTCTTGGCACTGAAAACAATTTTACGGGAACACATTTGTTAAGAAGGTTGATTTTGGAATACCACATCCTAACTAAGTCCTCTCAAGGATGCAAGGATTCAAGCAATTCTATGGGTTTTCCCTGGTTCTAACAAAAGCAAAACAACTGTTTTGTACAGAATAGTAGTTGGAAGGAATATGAGAAAGAACACTTTCTGAGTTAAGCCACTGACTCATCATGCCCACCAGAGTGTCTGAGTCCATACTAAATCTCACACAGCTGTGGCATTTCTCTTGCCCCTTTCTAAGTAAGCAGCATAACACTCTCCTACACTTAATCCTCTAGCCCTGAGAAGGGAGGCTAGTTTAGAAAGTCAACATGATCTTGAGCTGTGCTCAGGAGAAGAGAATCTTAGAGTCACCGCTCGATGCCCACTGCCCTGAGTGTTGGCCTCGCTTAGCAAGCAGTGCCTGGATGAACACACAAATCTATTGGCCTAAGGTGAGATGAAGAAACAAACTCTCAATCCTGGCACTGTGGTCAGCTCGTGACCATCAGAGGAGTACTGGGCTGGGCTCCCAAGATTCCAGAGCTTGTTTCCAATGTTGGTGCACTAACTCTTGCTCAGGTCTTTTTAGAAAGTATGGAAACTTCTTCTGTTCCCAAAATGATAGGCACAGATAAGCACCAAAGCATGCTTTTTGCCACAATGACAAATGTAGCTTTTGTAAAACAGGCATCTAAGTTACCAGCCAGAGAGCTCAGTCTCATGCATGTTTAAACCTACCACAAAACCAAAAAAAGCAAAACAAGACAAAACAAAAAACTATAGGTGCATTTAATTTTACTCTTTTTAATGTTTATTTATTTCATTTGCGAGACAGAGAGAGAGAGAGAGAGAGCAAGAGAGTGAGCCTGACACTGGGCTCGATCTTATGAACTGCGAGATCATGACCTGGGTGGAAATCAAGAGTCAGGGGTGCCTGGGTGGCTCAGTCAGTTAAGCATCCGACTTCAGCTCAGGTCATGATCTCATAGCTCGTTGAGTTCTAGTGCCACATCGGACTCTGTGCTGACAGCTCAGAGCCTGGAGCCCCTCTGGATTCTGTGTGTCCCTCTCTCTCTGACCCTTCCCCTCCTCATTCTCTATCTCTCCTTCAAAAATAAATAAACATTAAAAAAAATTTAAAAAGAAAAAAAAAAGAAAACAAGAGTTAGACATTGAGCCACCCAGGTGCCCCTACAGGTGCACTTAAGATGAACAATATGAATGATTAACAGTTATCAAAGCCCCGTCCCAAAGAATCAAATGCCATTTCCTTTCTTTTTTAAAAAAAATTTTTTTTAATGTTCATTTATTTTTGAGAGACAGAGGTGGAGTACGAGTGGGGGATGGGCAGAGAGAGAGAAGACAGAATCTGAAGCAGGCCTCAGCTCCCAGCTGTCAGCACAGAGCCCGACATGGGGCTTGAACTCACGAACTGCAAGATCATGACCTGAGCCGAAGTCAGACACTTAAGCCACCCAGGTGCCCTGCCATTTCCTTTCTTATCTCAAATTTATTTCCTCTCTCCCTGTCAATTAACAAACACTGAGTGATAACAACACACTGTCACTAAAGTCCATTTTGATAAGAAATATCAACTATCCTGGGTTAGAAAACCTCCATGCGTGCTATATCTGACTGATGTAGAACTTTCTGCTACACAGAAAGATATCCTGACTCAAAGGATACCTATAGCTTCTTTTATTAATCTCTACTTTGTCAGTAGAGCAAAGGAACCTAAACTAACTTCACTATCAGTTTGTTCTTAGAAATGTATCATTTCGAAGAGATAATATAACACTGTCTTAAAGCAGGCAAAACTACTACTTAAAAACTGTTACCTAACATTTATATAACACTTTGAGGTTGACAAAAACTCTCACATACGTAATTTCATCCAATCCCCAGAGTAGCACTATGAGGTGCATATGACTACCCCTGAGTAACCAAATGAGGAAACAGATGCCACAAGAATAAGGCACTTGCCCCAATTCTCCCAGCTGGTCACTGGCACAGGTAAAACCGGAATCCAGGTTTGTCCAACTCCAAAGCCAGTGCTATTTTTATTTTACCAAAATGTCTCTCAGGAGAAAAGATGATGTATTCTTGCAATTTCTGTAGTATCCAGTGGACAAATAAAGCACTCACTTTTGTTGGGCCAACTAAATATTTAAGTTTTCTCAGTGATACAAGTAAACTTTTATCAAAACTTCTCATTTAAACTCTGTAAATAAGAGTCTCCACAAAATATCCAGAAACCGTGCATGCTACCCCTCCAGAATGTAGTACTTCTGAAATAAAGCTGTCTGCTACTAAATCCCAGGCGGCCAGGGATCACAGAGTGACTTGAGAGAAGAGGAAAGCAGATCTTGGGTCCAAAGCTTGTGCAGGATCCATATGACAAAGAGCAATTTGCAGTTAAAGACTGAACTGCAATTCAGTTGCCAGCTATTTGGCCAGGACTCTAGACGATGGCAGTCTTGGCTTCAGACTAATCTTCCTGTATGTTAGGGATTTCTTCAAATTTCACAGCTCAGGCCTTTGTTAATGTACTTACCTCTTCTTGTACTACCTTTTTGCTACTACTATTCAGTTCTGTTCAATTGATGTAAGCAGTTAAAGCTGCCCAGGAGTTCATCCATTCTTCTTGTTTTAGGATTAGAGAAGGTCATAGACCAAGGAGATTTCCTTTTTAAGGCTTTTAGGCTCGATTTGAGTTTTGTAAGTGAAGTCGAGCACCTCTGTTTTTCTCCCTAATGGGGAGTGTAAGCTTTTGCTATTCAAGCCTGAATACACATACAAGTTTCTTGTGGTCCCCCATATGGAAACCATAGAGCAGAAATGACTCACAAATGAAACGTGAAAGACAGATTAAAAAACTATACTTACTTAAGAGGAATTCGTGAGGCTGTGTTCACATTTGTGGTTGGGACTACTACTTGAAGAATGTGTTCAAGGGCTGTTAATCCACCAGCAACTTGAAATGCAATCTGATCTGCTACATTCTAGACAGAAATACAAGTAGAAATTAGCCCAATTTCTCAGGCATAGAATGATCACCAAATGAAATATTTAGTTGTAGTGTCAAACACTCTGTTGGTTCAGTTATTCTACAAATACTTATTGAATGTTTATGCAGTGCTAGGAACAGGAGGTTGAAACTGGTGAACACAGAAGACATAGTTGCTGCCCCCATGAAGCTTAAAATTTAGTGGATGAGAACAACACCAATCAAATAACCATAAATAAAATAATTTCAATTATGATAAGTACCTTGAAGAAAAAGGGAAGGTGCTCTATAAGAATAATAGGGAACCAACTATATATTGGGGAAAGGGTCAGCACAGGCTTTTCTGGTTGAGGTTCTGAAACAGGCAAAAAAAAGGGGGAGGGGATGGAGTGCTCCATGCAGAGGGCAAAACCGTTTTACACAGAATATTTTAGCAATAATTTTAAAAAGCAGATCATCTTGTAATGCTAATTACCACCTAACAAGACAAACTAACTGTCACAAAGATTTCCTCTCGTATTACTTTTTTCCTTGGCAATACAAGATAATCTCATACCTAACCATCTCCATATATTTTTTTCACCATTTCAGCTATTTTAGGGAGAATCTTAAGTCAGCATTATAGAACTCAACCGATGATTATTTCTTTACAATTTCTGAATTGTTTTCAAGTCTTGTGAAAGGAACATCTCTGAGCTCTTTGCATTTCTCTGGCATGGGGACAGGCAAGAGCAATTCTATGGTACACTGTATTAGTTTCTATGCATACAAACGATCACCGCAATCTGCTATTATACCACCACCTTTATGTTTCTTCTAAGAGCACTATAGTTCATCAAGCCTTGAAATATCTTTGAAATACTTAAGTATTTTTGGGGGGATAAGAGGGTGCATCAGGGAGAGATAGGAGTTATACACAAGATCTGTCAAACATGTTTGTCTGATTCTTCTGATGTTCTAAGCACAATGCTCTGCTTGATGTGGACTACTGACTTCTGACTAGACTTTGGTAGTACAGTGCCTTAGTCATTTAATCGCTCACTATGTGCACAATAAAATACAGTTTGACACTATAATAAGTTTATTGTGAATCCTAGACAAGAAATCATACTTTTAGGATAGAAAATAAAGAATTTTTGTTTTTAATGGGAAAAAATGTTTCTTTGCAATAAAACTAACCATCAAAAAAACTGAAAAACCCAGGTGTATTCAGTAATTTGAAACCATCATGCTGTTACCATTCTTTCTTCATAGGCTAGGATGTCAATAAGATTAGAAAATAATAATAAATTTTGTATTAGCACACAACACAAAGAAAACTGCACTAATCATAACTGTATAGCTGGAAGAGTTAAGGCAAATTGAACACATCCTATACCAAATCCAAAATGAAAAAGCAATAATATAAATAAAAATTAAAAAAAATAACAAACACAACGCCCTGTACATACCCTGTAACTACTCCAAAATAAAAAATAAAAAAAGTTTTATAACATGCCATAATATTCCTGATGCCCATCTCATTCACTCTCTCTTCTTCTTCCCCAAATGTAAAAGCGATCCTGATTTTTAAAATCATAGATTACCTTTGTCTTCTTTTGAGTTCTATAAAAACGTAATCATACTCTACATATTCTACAGAATCTACATATTCTTTTCTTGCTCAAATTTTTTCTTCTAAATTCATCCATATTGCTGCCTATACCTGTGTTTCATTCATTTCCCTTGTTGGAATATAATATTCCCTTATCTGATTATATACATCAACTTTTTTTTTTTTTTGGAAAAATTTACTTTATTCTAACATCTTTTTTCATCCCTTCCACATTACTTTCACTTTTAACATTACAGGGTGAAGATAACCATTATCTTATTATCTTACTCAACTTATTTAAATGTTTCACTGCTGACTGACATCTGGGTTGTTTTTTTTTAATGTTTATTTATTTAAAAAATTTTTTAAAAACATTTTTTATTTATTTTTGGTAGACAGAGCACAAACGGGGGAGGGGCAAAGAGAGACGGAGACACAGAATCCAAAGCAGGCTCTGAGCTATCAGCACACAGCCCGACCCGGGGCTCGAACTCACAAACTCACAAACTGGGAGATCACGACCTGAGTCGAAGTTGGACGCTTAACTGACTGAGCCACCCAGGCATCCCAATGTTTATTTATTTTTGAGAGAGAGGGAGACACAGAATCTGGAGCAGGCTCCAGGCTCTGAGCTATCAGCACAGAGCCCGATGCGGGGCTTGAACCCATGAACTGTGAAATCATGAACTGAGTTGAAGTCAGAAGATTAACCAACTGAGCCACCCAGGCACCCCTCAATTTTTTTTTTTTTGTTTATTTATTTTTGAGAGAGACGCAATATGACCAGGGGAGAGGCAGAGAGAGAGAGGGACACACAGAATCTGAAACAGGCTCCAGGCTCTGAGCTCTTAGCAGAGAGCCTGACAAGGGGCTTGAACTTGGGATCGGTGAGACCATGATTTAGATCGAAGTCAGATGCTTAACTGAGTGTCCCAAGGTCTGAGCCAGCAAGGTGCTCTGGGTTGTTTCCACTTTCAAACTCTGGACAATGCTGCTTTAAACATTTTTGTACAGGTATTTGTGCAACTGTGACATGCAGTTATGTTGGGTATATGAGTGGAATTCCTGCATCATAGAGTATACATAGGTTCAATTTTATTAGCTGTGGCCAAACAGCTTTCTAAAGTATTTGTGTACATGATGAAGTACAATGATAATTTCAGCTATTCTACATTCACACCAAAATTGATTTTATCATTTTTTTAAAACTTTAGTCATTCTTATGAATGCATAATGGCATTTCATTGAGGGTTGTTTTTTTAAATTAAAAAAAAAATTTTTTAAGGTTTATTCATTTTTGAGAGACAGAGAGAGACAGAGCATGAGCGGAGAAGGGGCAGAGAGAGGGAGACACAGAATCCGAAGCAGGCTCCAGGCTCTGAGCTGTCAGCACAGAGCCCGACATGGGGCTCGAACTCACGAACTGCGAGATCATGACCTGAGCCAAAGTTGGACGCTCAACTGACTAAGCCACCCAGGTGCCCCTCATTGAGGTTTTTATTGGCCTTTCCTGGATAATCAGTTGGATTGAACACCTTATGTTTACTGGGTATTTTTTTAAATTGAGGTATACTTTGCAACTGGTTAAAAGGCTCAGATCTTAAGTATACCATTCAAATAAATTTGAGAAATCCTTATCAAGACCTGAACGCTTCCATCACCTTAGAAAGCTCCCTCATACCACTGTTATAGTCAATCCCCCCACTCCATGAAGCAACCACAGATTTGATTTATAGTCCCATAGATTTAAACACCAAGAGCAAAAGCAAAAATAAATAAGTGGGCCTACATCACACTAAAAGGTTTCTATGTAGCAAAGGAAACCATCCACGAAATGAAAAGGCTATCTACTGAATGGGAGAAAATATTTGCAAATCATATTTCTGGTAAAATACATAAAGAACTCAAACAACTCAATAGTAAAAAACACAAACAATCCAATTAAAAAAATGGCCAGAAGGTCTGAATATACATTTTTTCCAAAGAAGACACATAGATAACCAACAGGTATATGAAAAGATGTTTAACACCATTAATCATTAGGGAAATACAAATGAAAATCTCAGTAGGATATTACCTCACACCTGTTAGAATGGTATTATCAGAAAGAAAGAAAGAAAGAAAGAAAGAAAGAAAGAAAGAAAGAAAGAGGAAAGGAAGGAAGAAAGAAAGAAAGAAAGAGGAAAGGAAGGAAGAAAGAAAGAAAAGGAAAGAAAGAAAAAGAGAGAAAGAAAAAGAAAGAATTAGTGTTGGTGAGGATATGGAGAAAAGGGAACCCTTGTGTACTACTGGTGGGAATATAAATTGGTGCAGCCACTATGGAAAACTGTATGTAGGTTCCTCAAAAAATTAAAAGTACAAGTACCATATGATCCAGAAATTCCATTTCTGAGTATTTAGCTGAAGCAAATGAAAATACTAATTTGAAAAATATATGTACCCGACGTTCACACAGCGTTATTTACAATAGCCAAGATATGGAAGCAAGATAAATGTCCAATGATAAATAAAATGTTTACAGAAGATGTGGTATATAAATAAAATGGAATATTACTCAGCCATGAAAGGGATGAAATTTTGTCATTTGTGAAAACATGGATAAACCTTGAGGGCATTATCCTAAGTGAAATAAGTCAGGTAGAGAAAAACATGTAGAATTAAAAAAAAAAAAAGCTCACTGACACAGAGAACAGATTAGTGGTTGTTAGAGGCAGAGGATAGGGGGTAGAAGAAATGGAATGGGTGAAGGGGATCATAAGGTAAAAAGAAACAAAATATAGGTTAATTTTGTCTCTTGTAGAGTTTCATATAAATGAGATCATATGATATACATGAATATTTTCTGGATTTAATTTGGTAGTGAATGGTTATCCCATTAGCAATGTTTCTACTGTATCTGGTACCAGAAGCATCTAAAGCATAAGGAATACAGCAGAGGAACTCTTAGTCAGTACAGGGATATAAACACATATATATACCTCCTTTCTTCTTATACTCGAAAGAAGTAGGAATTATAGATAAAATATGTGATAATATTTAATGTTTATTTATTTTTGAGAGAGAGAGAGAGCACGCACACGTCAAGGGGAAGAGAGAGAGAGAGGGAGACACAGAATCTGTGGCAGGCTTCCAGACTCTGAGCTGTCAGCACAGAACCCAACGCGGGGCTTGAACCCACAAACTGTGAGGTCATGACCTGAGCCGAAGTCTGGCATTTAACCAACTGAGCCACCCAGGTATCCCCATAATATGTGATAATGTTGAAAAGGCAGAACCACATTAAAAAATAAATGGAACATCTCTGTGAACCAGGGATGGAAAAGCTAAAAAAACGCATAGGGCAAGGGTCCAACTTTCAGCAGACTCTTAAAAGAACACTTGCCCTTCTAGACTTTTCCCTC